ATATGATTAATTTTGTATTTGACAGGACCCTGATTTTTTTTAATTTTATTTCTATGAACAAAACATAAATAAATTGTGGAGGGCCCCCTGCTGGTCAAGGCCCCTAGAATTGTCATCACGTTTCACCCCTTTACCACGCCCCTGACCCCTACCCGTTTCCATTAGGCAAGTTTATTTTTGTGATTTCAAACTGCGCAAATTTATGGTTAATAGAAAAGCAGTTACTGTTTTATTGTTCCTGACATCTTAGAAAAAAAAAAACTCTCAATTGCAAAACGATTAAATAACTAAAATGTAACAGACACTTTAATCTGGTCCCTGCAGGTTCAGTAAGGAGAATGAGGAGGATCTGAACCCGTACGCGTACGTGCCGTTTGGACTCGGCCCACGTAACTGTGTCGGGATGCGATTCGCCATCCTGGTCATGAAGATGGTCATCGTGCGCATCCTGCAGAAGTACTCTGTGGAAAAGTGCAGCGACACCTTGGTAAGACCGACAGCCTGCAACAATTCAGTCGTTCTGCTCTGTTGCCATGTCAACGTTTCATTTCTGTCTGTTTCCATCTTCAGGTCCCAATTCAGTTTGACTTTAGGTTCCAACCTACCAAGCCTCTGGTGGTGAAATTTGTTCCCAGAGAACTATAATGGAAGACTTATTAATTTTTTTTTTAATAATCTGGATGGATGATTGCTTCTGAATGTTGTGTAATTCAATCACTGCTGAGAGATCATGTAACTTGGCTGTGCTTTCTAAAGTCCGTCTTTGTTGGCTGTCGTGAATAGCGGACACAGACAAAATGTTGCAGTTATTTCAGTTTTTGAGGTGAAGGCCACTGTGTGTGTGTGTGTGTGTGTGTGTGTGTACAGTGCCCTGCAAAAAGTGTTCACACTTCTAGCATTTCTTCAAAATATGCAAAGCTAAAATCACAAACTTTCATATGGATGTTGAACATTGATGTGAATGAGCAACACAAAGCGATATTTAATGTGCAGCGGAAAATTAAAAAAATCAATGCTTTAACATTTCCTTGTAATAAATAATTTTTTTAAATTTTTAGATGTGAAATATTCCTTTTCATGTGAACAAACATGTTTACTAGATTTTAGAGGATTCTACCACATTTTTAATTTTCAAATTTTTGTAAGACATTTTGACAACAATCTGGACTTTCCAATCCAAAATACTATTTACTTCATAAAAAAATTTAATGTTTAGGTAGCACACATCATAAAACTAAACAGTTTTTTGATTTTCAGAATGCCGTATAAAGCTCTTTCACTGCTTTCCACCCCCAATTCAAATTCAAAAACACTTTATTAACCCCAAAGGGAAATTAAATGTTGTAACTCACTAATTTAGATTCTTCAGAGTTATTGAAGATAACATCCCGCCTTAAAAATAATTACATAAAACCTGATGGTTTTAAATAATCAACAATTCTTGGAATTATAAATGAGGACTTCTAATTATAAAAATTCACATGTCAACACTGGTATCTTTAAGTATGTAAAAACATTAATCAATAGCAATCTTTCATTTGACATTTTAAACAGTCCCAATGATGTGTTTCTGATATAGTTTTGCTGAGGCTCAAGAGTGTTAGCACTCCTGCAAGGAAATGTGTGCAGTTTTTATAAAAAAAAAAAAATGATGAAAAATGATTATTGGTGAACTAAAAACTTTTATATCAACATATAGGCCCCAGATTTTGATCAAACTAAAAAGCAAAAACTGCAACTGCTTGTGACTAGATGGACAGTTTTTCTCTCTGTTTTTTAAATCTCCAATGGGTTCAGCAGAGCTGGACACACAAAATAGACAGAAAGTGAGACGGGTTCATTTCATCTACATATGTGAATGAAAACATAAGGCTTTTTTGGGGGTTTTTCTGGAACTAAATAAGTATAATTTATTGTCAGTTAAACTATCACAACATAAAAAACAGGAGTCATATTCTGTATTATTTTAATATTCAGATGAGATCCAGTTGTGTTGGGCTGTATTAAAATCTCTGGGGGGGTGAGGGGAAGAAAAAAAAAATCACCGTAAAACAGCTTTCTGGGGTTTCCTGATGTGCAGTAAATTCTAATTTTACTCTGGAACATTTACCTTTGTGGTAAATTTCACGTTCATGCGAACAACTCATGTTTATGAAAATCTTTATTCATGTCAAAGCCATCTTCAGCTATTTTTTTAGGACAGTCTTAACTTGTGTCATAAACATGCCAAGTAAAAATTTTACCCAACCAGTCATTGCTTTTCAGGAAACCTCAGTAGCGCAAAAACAAATCTCCAGCAGAGGGCGCCAAAGTAGCGTCCTCGTTAAAACAGAAGTTACATTATTGATAAAGCTCCGATTTTATCCTCTCACACCAAGTCAGCTGCTGGTTTTATGACAACATACCTTTGCTTTACCTTTTCTTCAACACTGATGTTTACTTGTAACAAACCTAAAATAATCAAATTACTCTGAGTGTCAGAGCATCAAAACAAAGGAAACTAAAATGATTGAGTTGGAAAAAAGAAGAAAGGAATCCAGTCCCTTAAAAATAATATTTGACAATTTTCAAACGGTGCTACATTTGTAAAGGTGTCCAAATATTTATGTGTGGTGGAGGAAAATGTGGCCCAGAGGTTAGCTCGATGCTAATCAGTTTTGAAAAGACAGTCCTGCACATTAAGGTAGACAGAAAAGTACAGACAGTAAACAAAAGTTTCTTTTTTCCAAGAGTGGAATATAAAACTGAGCATCTTCTGGTTTTAGAAAAAGAAATGACATAAAACGTGTAAAAAAAAAAAGGAAAAAAGTTCAAACTACAAAGCCTTTAAAAGTCCTGAGTTTGTCGAAAAATAAACAAAGCTGACAAAAAAAAGGCCAGAATTTTATAAAAATCGAAATACAACAAAACAGGATTTGTCAGAAACGTTGGTCAATACAAATGTCCTTCCAGCACGTCAGCGGCTCTCGCTTCAGAGCAGAACTCGCCCTGCAGTAGTTAAAACCAATCGCTCATTCAGGAAAATTAGCACCTTCCTGTGAAATGTAAAGCTTTATTTTTTTTTATTTGTCAGTGTGATGATGATAAAAGTGTTTTCATTTGTTTGATGTGGCATCAATACGTTGGAGGAAAATAATTGATGCAGATTGGTCTCTGGTCAGTTAAAAAAAAAAAAAACTACTTTTTTTTTTTCTTAATGTAGATTACCATACAGCATTAGCATGAATTTCAATTTTACTTTGATTTGAAAAAAAAAACAAAAAAAAAAACTATTAAAAGTTGTCATATATGCTAAATGTATAGGTTTCATAAGAAAGTACCTGGTTTAAAGGCACCATGGCAGCTGCTACTGAGAAAGTATCCCTCCACGTCACTGTCTTAACTTTTGTTCCGAAACACTTAAGCAAATTGTTCCTTTGAGTTGGTTGATGAGTCAGTGCAAATCATCAGATTGTTTTTTTTGTTTGTTTTTTTTAATGAGTCTGGAAGGACCTGAGCTACCGCTAAATGTTTCACTGGAAATAAAATACAGAAAAAAAAAAAAAAAAAGGCTGATTCTCTATAACGTTACCCATCAGCGGCGTCTGGTAGGCTGAATCAAGTCGACTGCAGAATTACTTTTACCTGCAGGAAATTCCCACCGAGATGAAAAGAAATAAATAAAAAAAATCTCATTTATGAGACAATCCCTTGAAAAGACATTTATCAGCCTCAAAGGAAATCACACAGAAACCACTGCGCTGATGGAATCCCTGGTAAAGACGCTTGAAAAGCCCTAAAATGACTTCTGCTCCAGAACAGCAGCATAATTTGATAAACATATTCAAAACATCCAACCTGTAAGTAGAGCATATCCAGTCAGTGTCAGGAAATAACACTGCAAAAATATAAAATCTTACCAGGTGTTTTTGTTCTAGTTTCTTGTACACTTGAAATAAGACAAAACTAACTTACAAGTAACATTTCAGCAAGATATAGGAGCTTGTTTTAAGTCAGTTATTCCTTAATTTTGATTTAAAAAAATACTACTTCCATTGGCAGACATATTTTTTAGTCAAAAAAACTGCTAGTGTAACTAGTACCTTTTTTTTTAAATCAACATAAAGGAGTAATTGACAAATAAAAACTACTAAATCTTGCTGAAAAGTTAGTTATGAGTTAGTTTTGTCTTATTTAAAGCGTGCCAAGATTTTGTGTTTTTGCAGCTTAAAACCACAACCTTATTCACTTAATACTTTTTTGAAGTTCAGATCATCAGATAATGGCAGATGAACTTTTAATTACAAACTGATGATCTTGTATGAAAAATATGATGTGGCGCAGAGCCACTCTTCAAAAGAGGACAGACAAGAGAAACCGTGGCGCTAAAGACAGATGATGCTTGTTAATGTTCAAGAAAATAACTTCTCTCCTCAACTTGCTCTTGTTTGCACTCAGAACTAAAACAAAGACATTCAAAACAACCCAGTTATTGGAGAAGAATTACAAAGTTCCTAAAAATCAGGTAAAGATGGGGAGAGTTTCACTAAATTAACTTTAGCTGCTCTGCAGCAACAAACAGTGCTTTGTTTGTGATGCGTTGGGAACCTGGGTGGAGCGTGTCAGGCCCAACTCTTTGAAACGGCAGCACATTTTAAACAATAAAAACCAAAACACCTGGAGGAAATCAACTCACAAACGGCTCTTCGGATACCGATTCAAGCTAATTTTTGAATTAAAGGTTGGATTTCTCTAACGTTTGCTACTTCAGTGAAAAATTGTGCAGAAGCACCTTTACCAGGGACTCAGGTTGTCATACCGTAATCAGCAGCGACAGAAACTTAATTTACCCAGAGATTTGCCTCAAAATGATTGGACAGGTATAGATAAACGATTATTTCTACGCTTATTGACATTTTCCATGAAGAAAACTTTTAGAAAACTGTTTAAAATAAAGAGAAAATTTTCCGTGTCAATGTACCAAGGAGTTTATAGTTTCCTCCGGAGATGTTTTTACACTGTAACCAGGTAGAGGGGGTGACAAGTAAAATGCTGGTACAACCTGCATGTGGTTTGTAGGTAAAGGAGAAACGAGTGGAAACAGGTTTGAGTTTTCAGGGGCATCTGGGGATCAGTGAGAACCCTTCCACAGGTCCAGACGGGGTCAGATTGTCCCGATGCTCCCACGCGGAGTGAGCGAGTCTGGGCGCCTGAATCAATGGTCTGACAGGACTTTTGGCTGTGGCTGCTGTGGTTTCTCCGTTAGGTCACTGTCTCTTTAAGAAAAGGGGGTGAAGGCCCGGGATTCCCCCCCTCCCCCCACCTCCTGCTTCTACCTGCGGGGCTGCGGGCGACAGTGTCGAGGCAGAGAGGAGGGGGGGCTGGAGGAGGCCGAGGGGGACATGGAGGCCAGGGAGGCGGTGGCGGCGGCGTCCTCGGCCTCTTCTAGCTCTCCGGTCGCTCCGTGAAGCTCCTGGCTCACGCTGGACTGTAAGGCAGCAGGGGTCAGCCATTCTTTGGGCAGGCAGCTCTGGAGGAACGGCACGCAGGAGCTGAAGTAGGCCAGGCGGTTGACCCAACGAGGGATCTCTCTGCCACACAGGATCTACGAAGAAACATTAAAAGAACAGAAGAAGAAAAGTTTAGGTAATGGTTCAAAACAAATACAAAAAACCTCGCTTAGCTCGCCGTGAGAGGTTGAGGAGCTGAAGACTTTCCTCTGCCTACATTCCCCAGAATGCTGTGCGGTTCTGAAACAGACTTGCAATATTACTATTTTTTTTTTTTTTTTTTTGCTGAGTCCTACTTAATACTGATAAAAAGTTTTTTCATACCATATCTAATTTTAATTGATTTTTTTTCTCGCTTTCTTTTAAATAAGAAAAGAAAGAACAAAATACAGAAAACATTTTTTTTAAATGGCTTCTAATGCAATCCTTCCTTCTCCGAGTTCTGCAACAGAGTATTAGGGCCAGAATACAATTTTTTTTTTAATTATGAGAACATAGTCATAATGTTAGAGAAAAAAAACAGATGAAAGTCTCAACATCACGAGAAATAAGTTGTTTAATAAGAAAAATAGTCTGAATGATTCATTTTTTTATTTGTCCTGTTAGTAGTTTGTTTAAACCTAGTACTTAATTTTCCTAATATGATGACTGTATTCTTGTAATTAAAAAACAACAAAAAAATGTAGCCAGACCCTAATATTTCATCATAGAGTTGACCTGAATTTAAAGTCCACATAAATAGAAGCGGTAAAACACGCTTGTCAAACAAGATGGCCGCCACGGGCCTGATGACATCACTCTGAACTATGGAAACCTGCAGAGTGCACAGGTGAAAAATGAAAAAAAAAAATCCTGATTTTCCAAACATTAACTTTTCAAAACCAAAAATTTGATAAATCAATATACAAACTTTATTTTAACAATGTTATAAAGACCTGGCAACATGTGGACAAGGATATCAGTGTTTTCCCGGTTAAACAATTTTTTTATTACTTTGCCAATTTAAATTGAAATATATTTAGGTGGAGCAAGATGAAGGTTAATTGCCTCATCACATGTTTTGACATGAAAAGAATCCACACCACCCTCCATATAACAATCCACATGATGTCACACCTATAAAGGTTTCCACTCTATTTTGTCTTCCTAACGCTGTCAGAAAGCAGCAGCTAATCCATAAATATCTCGATTCACACACACACACACACACACACACACACACACACACACATGCTCGTGGCAAATATGATGACCTTTTAACAGCTGACGCCGAGACCGATTAGTGTTAAATGGGAAATGAAGAAAAACAAAAAAGGAGGGGACTTTTTGAACACTGAAGACTGTCGCTGTGTATTTTACTCTCTATTTTAACAGTAAAGTGTTTGTTTCCCCATTTTCTCAACATAACGACTTACCAATGGACACAGTTTGTACCCTGTCTAATTCTACCAACCTCGCTTGCTTTGCGACATCAGATAAAACTGTTTCATCACGCCGGTGAGCTTGTTCTGTCTTGATCTGAGCAGATGTCTGCTAAGATATAATACGGAAATAGGAGGCGAGACAGAAAGAAAGTGTGAGCAAATATAAATGCCTGCAGCTAAGTGAAAAAGCTTCCACCTCAAACTGAAAACGCCAAGACGTGTTTTATGACCTGGATTTATCTTCCACAAATTATCTACCAAATCCAAATGTATCCAGATGATATAGATCTGTATAGAAAGACTACTCTTTCTAGAAACATTTGTCTATTGTTTGTGAAGAGAGACAAATATTATCTGTGGAGAAGTGATTATTGATAGGTACTTTTTCTCGATCCTATATAAAAGAACCACAGACAACGTATATGAATTTTTATGGCCAAGCTTTTGCAAAAGGAGAAGTCTCTGGTAGAAGCTCCTCCAAGCCGTTCACAGAGCGTTCTGCTCTCCTTCCGCGTGAGCCCCTGTTTTATTGTCAAAGAAAACAGTCAAGGGGGCAGTCAAGAAAAACAACAGAGGTCGTAAAACTTCTAACCCAAATAGCTAGCAACCCAATTCCAGGCGTGATATCTGATCTATGGTCTGAGCCCGGTTCAAATCTCGGTCAAACTGTTAACAAGACAAAATATGACTACAGACAGGCAGTTAGGAGGTATTCTGGTTGATAAGAATTTAAGGTCTGGGAAACACAGAGTTAACTGTTTCACATGAAGATGAAACAGACAGTCCTGACCTCCAGGTCAGTTCATACACACCTAAGGAAGAGAACACTTTAAACAGCTATAGACTGAATGTGAACTAAAGTAATAACAAAATGATAATACCGAAAAATCTCTAACAATTATAACGTTTGATCTGATCATCTTTCTCCGTGTAAGAGTTTCATCCTGAGGGAAACGCTTCACCTCCCTTGTTTTGTTAAACATTTTAACCATACTGGTATTCTGTTTTGCGTCTCTGTGTGAATGTTTGAACCCTAATCTGTCATTTCCTTAGAGAGGATTTCTCTGTGTGGTATTTGCAGCACATATGTGCTGTTTGGGTGTGTGTGTGTGTGTTTGCCAGCTGGCCCTGCATGTCCAGGCTTGTATCAGTGTCCTAATCCCCATCTGAGCGGTAGTTGCTAACTGTAAGACTCCCTGCTCATTAGTCACTCCAGCATAAGCTGATTGAAGACGCACGCATGCAACCACACACACACACACACACACACAAATCTTTTAATGTAACAGCATCTAGTTATTTATCCACTGAAAGTCACCATGACATGATGTATCACCATGAGTTCGACGAAATATTAGTTTTAGGCTGTTCCCAGTGAAAGGGAGTCAACACACCGCCATAATATAGACAGTTGTGCAAGCTTATGTTTATTTTTTTCTTCTTTTTTATGTACTCCACCTCTGAAAGTGCTGAGGAAAAGTGGTTGCAGTTCTTGTGCATGAGGTGGTAGGCATTCCCCTTGTACTCCTTCCCCATCTCCTCCACGATCCGCTCCACGTCTTCCTCCGTGAAGTCTGTGCTGCCCAGGACGATGGCTTCCCTACACACACACACGCACGCACGCAGCGAGTATGAGCTCAAATAACCAACTGGAGAGCAGCTCACTTAAAAATATTCGTCAATATTTTGTGAAACATTTCGATTTAACATCTGAATTTTATTGTATTTTTGTTCAAGAATCAGCCAGTTTTAGTCCACCATTTGCTCCAGATGATCCATAGTTACAGCCTACTGGTCTATAAAAGGACACCATGGAAGTGTGTGTGGGGGGGGGTTTTGTTTGTTGGGGACGAGACTCTAAAGCCACAGGGCAGATCAACTAGAGCAGAAGTAACACACAGCAGCTCTGGATAAACAGAGGCTCTTCCAACATACTGAACCGACTGATCCTCTGCTGTTTCAATCAACTGCAGAGGAGATCATCCAAAATACAACCCTTTGCTGTTATAGCTAAAGAATAACAGTTCTGCTCAATTCAATTAGTCAATCTTTTTTGTTTTAATATAACATTTAAGTATGCAAATATTTAATATTTTGTGGTTAGTCTTTTGATCTGTCCATATCATCTATGGTGGATTATTTTGTTGTCAGTCCAAAGTTGACCTGACACTCTTTACTCAGGAAACAATGACTTGGTCAGACTTTCCCATTTGTATAACAATTGTTGACTTTCATAAACTGAAGACATCCAACAGGCACATAATGTATCTCTGAAAAACCTCCAAAAAAAAAAAGAAAATCATACTTACTTGAACTTAAACGTTTCGCCGAGTTCAGTGGCATCGCTCGGAGTGATCTCAAAGATCCCTGAGAACGGGTATGGGTGTCCACCATAGGCAAACTCTAAGCACAGGAGAAAAATATGTTTCTAGACATGTCTGACAAGAAAAATCGACATGCATCATCATACATCCTGATCTTCAGGAGCATCGTCCTTGAAACAACCTTACCTCTTCCATAGATCTCGATCCCTGAGTGAAAGACTCCGATGCCCAGAGAGCTGGTGAACTCATTGATCCAGTACTGCAGGCAAAGGGAGGTGAAAAGATTAAGTCAAAGTCTGTAGTTAATGCTGCATGGTAAGTGTAGCTTATGGTTTGTTTGTGGGGGGTGTGAATGTGTCTTGTTCTGGTTGAAGTGAACTCTGCTGCAGATCGAATGTATATGGAAATGCCAAGTGAACCAGAGACCGATCCAAAAGGAGGAAGCAGACTGTTGAGTTGAGCATCCTGGGTAAATACAACCACAACAACCCATTTTTTTTACGTATTGGTGAGGAAGGTAGTTGGGCTCATGTTTTCGTCAGTTTTTGTGTCATTTCCTTCAATGGTTCTTGGTGTAGCATCATCACAGACAAAGGGGGTGAGCAGGTTTTTCAAAGGGTTTGGTTTGTTGGACACAGTGTAGTGTGGAAGCGAACCACAGCAGCTGAAAATGTAACAAATGATGAATTCAGATCACATTGGTACAATGGAATCACGGACTGGTCGGCAACTGGGTGAAGCAAACATCTGCACAACATCGCCAAAATCAAGTACGGCCCAAAAAAAAAAGTAGTCAATATCGGAAGATCCCTAGCTCTGCTTTACATGACTTGTGTCTAACAGAAGTAAAGCTACACCTTAAATTAAAGATCACACTTTTTAACATGAAAGTCGGGGGTAGGGGGGATGATAACATAATTTTTGTAGACGTGTGTCAATGAAATAAACACTGGAAGCTTAAAACACTACAGCTAACTGATGTGCCAAGTTAATTTGTGCATGTCGTTACTGGAAGAATGCCACACTTGCAATATATTCTGTACCCATGCAATGCACATTTATTTCCTAAACCAAACCCATGTGTTTTTATCACTGACACAAAATAATAAAATGAAAATTACTGTGCACCTTCTGATAAAATCTGCAATGCAATTCTACCACAAACGGCAGCTGAAGAGACAATCAACCACAGTGCAATGCAAACCAAATATTATTATTCTAGCATAATAATGTGTGGTCACATGCTCTGCTACACATTAGTACACCAGTTTTTTTGTTTTTTTTGTTGCCAATATACCATTTTAAGCAATAAACTTCCATGTATTAGATCTGGTACGTTAAACCAGCTGAAAATTTTAAGTAGTCCAAAAACCAAAAGAGAACAATGCCTCAGTTTGTCATTTCTACCACCAATAGTGTTTTGGCACCACACAGCATTTTAATAATCAGCGTACACAAGTGGTTTTTAGCATAAGTTGCAGGATTTTGTTTGTAATTTAAGTAACCCAAAGATAAAAACAGCCTTTATCAAGCTTATTGTCGCACTACGGAAAAGCACTGGCACTGATCTGCCTTTTAGAAACTTGATTTGTGAAAAAACAACAAGAAGAAGAACCGTGTACTGCATTCTACGAAAGCCTCTTGTGAAGACTTATAAAACCTTGAAAGCTGCTGTGTTCTAGTGTGAGTAAATGAGTCGATGAGTGTCTGGGGATATTTCAAAGAAAGTTATTGCAAGTAATTGGAAACTAAGTGTTAAGACATTTCTTAGGCAGAGATAAACGGGGAAATACGAATAAATGGATGTTTGCTGTATTTTTTTGGTTTAATGCGTTATTTTTCAAACAATGTACGCCACTGCTCTGAACCTGTTGACGAAGACGGACTAAATGAGAGACCGGAAGGAAGGAAGTAAACAACCGACCACAGGTGCTCACGGTTGAGTTTGTTTTAGCTTGATGACTAATTAAGTAAGTCTGCTTTTGGTCCAAAAAGTTAGTGTAATTTTTTGTTCAAATCACATACAAAGCTATGTTCTCTACCTTAATGTTTCAGAGGACAAGGAAATTGACTCCAACTGGTCTTAAAATTGTTTAGATGAAATGGTAAACTGCTGTTGGACATGTATTGCTCAGGCTTTTTGACAGAAACAGATTTGATGAAACAGATTTCTTCATCGCTACTCGTCTAAAGCTGAAAAACATTTTGGTATTTTCTTCATATTTGGCTCAAATCATTTACAATAATATGCCTCAATCCCAATAATACAATTCTGCCTTTAAAAGTTAAGTAGATATACACAGGGTTTCCCCCAGTGTATTATAAGCCTGGC